CTCTCTCTCTCTCTCTCTCTCTCTCTCTCTCTCTCTCTCTCTCTCTCCCTCTCTCTCTTTTTTGCAGGAGCAACAGCAAGCAATACTCATGACCACTTCTCTCCCTAGGGCCTAACCACAGGAACTTCTACATAGCCCTGGGAACTCAACTCCATAAAAAAATACTTGTCTACTGTCTGCCAGACACCGAAGGGGGTTCAGTGCTGAAGGAGACAGAGCCCCTGCCCTCTGGAGGAAAGAGACCATTAGCAAAGGCACATGTTTGGTAGTGGCATGCGCTGCAGCCAGCACCATCTATTCTGCGTTCTCTTCCTCCTCCTTGACCGAGTGTCTTCTCCCTGGGGAAGGCTGGGTGGGGATGCGTGGCCATGGGACATGCAGAGATCAGTGAACAGCTCGCAGGAGTTGGTTCTCTCCTACCAGGTGGGCTCAGAGACAGAAGTCACAGAAGCAGGCTTGGCAGCAAGGCTTTACCTGCTAAGCCAACTTGCCAGCCCCTCAAATCACTTTCTCTGTCACAAACACCTGCTGGCCTCGCCATTCGATATGGGACAAAACGGTCTAAGTAACAGAAGACAAGGACATATGGATGCGTGCTCTTACATGTAACACTTATAACAATGCAAAGGCAGAACACTGTTAATAAATGAGTGATGGAATGTTCTAGAAATAGGACATGGTGTGCCTGTGTAAATCGTGTGTGTGTGTGTGTGTGTGTGTATGTGTGTGTGTGTGTATGTGTACGCGTGTGTAGCAGAGTACTATCTGGCCTGTAGGAATCTCTATGTTTGGTCCGTAACTCCAATGGTTCTGGTGGCATGCATCTGTAATTCCAGCATCCGGGAGGTGTAGGCAAAGAGGGCCATTCCCAGCTACATAGCAAGTTCAAGGCCAGCCCAAGATATTGAAACCGTATCTCCAAACCAAAAAAAGTGCCACCTCCCTTTGCCTCTGATGGCCTTCTCTAGCTTTTATTTTTCTCTAAACATCCCATTTCTGGGGAGACACCTCCATGTCCCCTGATCTTCACCCTCCCTGGCCTGGATTCTGCACTGCTGCAAGCCTGGCACCCTGTACCTGAGGTTCACTCCAGGGGAGCCCAGGGCATTTCACCTCCTCCAGGCTCTCCCTCTGCTGGCACAAGCCACTCGGAGTCAGCCCCCTGTCTAGATCCTTCTCTGATCCTGCTACCCTACCCTAACACCCCAGACACGGGCAGACGCCCCACCACACATACACACCCTGACTCGCTCTCAGGAGTGTCTCTCCACTCACCATCAGCGCTCAGGGACTTGCTCTTAGTCCTGAACGGGTGTCTAGGTGACAGGTGTCTAGGTGGGTGTGAGGGCTAGGCTGAGTCCAGTAGGAGTTTTGACTTAGCAAGATAGGCTTAACGACCAAAGGACAGGGTATGGGAATGAGAGGACACAGTGCCAGTCAGGGGACCCAAGTTTCCAGTCACACGCCCCGATTCCAATCCGCGCGTTGTCACCCTCGCAGGGTATTTAACTGCTCCGAAGTATAGTTCTCTCACACAAACTATAGCGAAGCTATGGCTGTCTTTAGCGCTGGCAAAGCAAGCCTGATGAGATGGGTTGGGCTCTTGAGGCCAGAATTCCTGTGTGATCCTGTCTGCTCAGTCACAAGAACGGCTTGTCACACTAAAAGGGTCCCCAGGAAATCCCCATGGGTTGAACCAGGCATCTCTTAACATATTATCTCTCTGGAGATTTCTGGATCTAAGAGCAGCAGGCCTAAGTTGCTTAAGTCAGTGCGCAGTGGCGTACGTAAGGGGTACCCACTCCAGGGGAAGAGGAGACACTGTATGGAAACCCGCAGGGTGAGGTGGTCAGTTGGCAGAGCTTTCCTACCCTGCCTGCAGCCCTGAGTTCAGACCCCAGCACTGTAAACCAGGCCTAGTGGCACACGCTGACATTCCCAGAACCTGAGATGGAACCAGAAAGACCAAAGTTCAAGGTCGCCCTCAGCCACAAGTTCTAGTTCACTAAGAATACATGAAACCCTGTTTCTAAGGGCATGAACCGGGTGGAGGGCATTGACATTGAAGGGTGTCTGGGGTAAAAGGAATGGACTATGTCAGACCCACAGGCACCTTCAGGGAACTGAAAATAGCTGTGGAAGAGCTGGCATTTATGAATAACTGCAAGGGAAGAAATTGCTCTTTAAAACCTCCCAGGCTCTGTAGCAAACACATTCCAGAGTGAACCACCCCCTGCCACCAGCACAAGGTCCCTGAACTGTGTGTGACCTTGGACAAGTTGTTCAACGACCCCACATCTCAGTTTACCATTAGGAGTAATGGGGGGCAGGGAATCTTCCCCATTCTGAGATGCCCTAAACCAGGTGTTTAGGCACACAGGATGGTGTTGATAAATGTTGCCTATTTTCAGTGTGTGTGTGTGTGGACAGGGGGACACTCCAGGTTCACTAATCACAGAAAATGATAAATGTCTTTACTAGCAAGTAGGGATCCCGGAAGAGCTTTGGGGAGGACAGGTCTAGCATGTAGCTACGGTGTCACAGGGACATAGGAGACCAGGCAGAGTTCAGTCTGATGTCTTTTGTTGTAGAAGGCCTTGATCGAGTCCCTAGGAAGAGACTCTGGTTGTCCCAGGCTTGAAACACACAAGGGGAGGGGGTAACCCAGCTCAGCCATCACAGGGGTGACACCACCCCCAAGCCAGTTTCCATGATATCACCTGCAAAGGGCACCTTGAACAAGGTGGCAGAAGGACAAACCCATGGGAATCCAGTAGGCCAGAGACCACCCCTGGAAGGCAGGAGGAACCACAGAGCCCAGCCTTGGGCTGAACAGACTTCCGGAAGAGCAGGGGACATCTGGGTCACAGGACATAGGTAGAGGAAGTGGCTGACTGGCCTTGTGAAGGTGGCTCAGGGAACCATTGTCTTCAAATCTCTGAAGGACTGAGGACATCAAGAAGATCACAGATATAACATGGGGCTCAGATGGACGAACCAACACCAGCTTCCCAGCTTTATGGAGTTGAAGTTGGCCTTAGGCCAAGACATCTCATGTGTCCTGGGAAGAGAATGAGCTGTCATGGGAGACTCTCTTGTCCCTAGTGTTCTGGGATATTTGCACACTGTGTGAAGATGTATTGATGTGGTTGGTGTAATGAAAAGTTGAATGACCAATAGTTAGGCGGGAGGTAAAGGTGGGACTTCCAGGCGGAGAGAGAACTCTGGAAAGAAGGAAGGCAGAGTTGGGAGCCAGACATGGAGAGAAAGAAGGAGGCACAAAATGGAAGTTGTAACATGAGGAGGCCGGGCCTGCTTGTTTAGATTTTCTATCCTGCCCAGCCCCCAGCTGTTTAGTCCCAGAGAAAAATCACACTGAGATCTCTGTAAGTTATAAAGCTGATTGGCCCTTTAGGTCAGGCTACTTATTAGCTAATCTCTCATCTTGATCAACCCATTTTACTGATCTATTTTAGCCATGTGGCTCAGTACCTTTTTCAGTGGGGCAGCTCACATCCTGCTGTTTCGGTGATCTGGGCAGGAGTGGAGGAATCAACTTCCTCCTCCCCAGAATTCTCCTGCTCTCCTTGCATCATTTCCACTTCCTGTCTGGTTTTCCCACCTACACCTCCTGCCTGGCCAATCAGTGTTTATTTAAAACATGATTGACAGAATACAGACAATTCTTCCTCACCAGGAAGTGAGCTAACACCAAGTGGCAGAACATAGATTAATATATCTGGGTTAATTGACATTATAAGAGCTAGTTGAGACAAACCTATGCTAAAGGCCAAGTTTTCATAATTAATAATAAGTCTCCATGTCATTACTGGGGAGCTGGCAATCCCATAAAAGATAGTCGGACAAGAAAGTTTGCTACACTATAGGACACTTTCTATCTGCCACTGGTCAGGAAAAGCAACAAGGAGCAGGATGTAGGGAGGGATAGAACAAGTGGGACACTCCCCAGTGCTCTATCAAATCAATCATTGCAACACCTCCATGCTACTCCGTAAAGCTGTCCATCAAAGACCCAGAAGTGTGGCTCAGCACTTATCTATATAAAGCCCCTTCTCCAGCACTGCCTTAATGAGATGTGGTAGTGAGCACTGTCAGGAAGCTCCACCCAGCCTTGCTCCTCTCATTCCAGACACTGCCCTTGAGAAAGTCCAGCTCCTCCCCCTGAGATGCACAAGACCATACCTTTAGGCTATTAAAGAGGCTGACTCCCAACCGGCCAGGTGGTTCTCCCTTGTGGCTTTCTTCTCTCTCCACCTCCGCCCCCACCACCTGAGAGTTGCTTTACTCATTAAACCTGGACTTTTAAATCTTTTTTTTTAAACTTATGCAATGTTCTACCTGCATATATGGCTACAGGCCAGAAGAGGGCACTACATCTCATTATAGATGATCGTGAACCACCATATGGTTTCTGGGAATTGAACTTGGGACCGCTGGAAGAGCAGCCAGTGCTCTTAACCTCTGAGCCATCTCAATAACCTGTGGGCTTTTAAATCCTAATTCGAATTAAGAGAGACTTAATATTGGGGTACAGAAACCTTCCACACACCTATGATCCCAGCACTTGGGATGTGGAGGCAGGAGGATATAATGTTTAAGTTGATTGGCCAATATACCTCAAGTTGAAGACCAGCCTGGGTTATAGGGTACAATGTCTCAAACAAACAAACAAACAAAAGGTGTGGGGGGGGATAAAGTAAAAACATTTTCGTATTTTTGTTATTGCTTGTTTGCTTTGCTTTTGGCATTTGGTGTTTCTTGTTTTGGTTTTTGCTTTTGTGGTCCAGGCTGGCCTACACACTATATATCTCAGGCTGGCAATCCTACTGTCTGAGGCTCCTGAGCATTGGGAACACTAACTTGTGCCACACAACACAGTATTAGTATATTTTATTGAAATTATTATTATTTTATTTTAAATATATGGGTGTTTGCCTGCACATATAGCATGGATAGTGCCCACTGAGACCATTAACCAAGTGTCCAGTCTCCTGGAACTGGAATTGCAAAGGCTGTGAGTCACCATGTGGGCACTGGGAACAAAACCCAGGTCCTCTAGAAGAGCAGCCAGTGCTTTTAACCACTGAGCTGAAGAAAAATTCTGTACCTGTCAGTCAGTCAGCAACCATATGACCTGGAGGGGTCTATTGGAAGCATCATTCCCTCTGTACTCTGGAGCCCTCCCCACTTTTTCTTCAGGCCAGAGTCCTGTTCAGTGACATGGCAAAGAATGACAAAACCCACGAAGTGGGAGCCAGACTGGGCATCATGTACCCACCATGTCTGCGGTTGCACCAGTGGGGCGACTGGGTTGTTCCAGAACCTTCACGTGTTTTCTACTCAGATTTCTTCACAGAATGCCCTCTAGAGTACTCAGCAGTCATAGTGCTCTTGGTTTGTTAAACTCTGGGACTCATCTTAAATGCCACCCCTTCCAGGATGTGTGAGAGCCAATGCTACATCGTAAGTTTTAATATCTACTCCATAGAGATCCATGAAACAAAAATGTCTCTGCTCTGCCAGCCCCTTGCCCAAGGACAGACGTTCATGAAATGCTGGAGGCTGTGGTTTTTTATGGGTGATAACAAGCCACGTGATTTCACTCCCCAAGTGTCAAGTTCTGCAGGAAGGGGTGCTGGGACAATGTCATGTCAAAGAAGCATGTAATGGTTTCAAGTTAAGAAAGCAAGGTTGCTGAACTTAGGGAGGTAATCTGAGAAGCCAACTGTTCATCCCACCGGTCTAGAATAAGAACACTACCACAATTTAAATCAAATTTTAAGGAAACTTTAATTACATATTATCCAGAACTTGACTTTCACAGACAACCACACATCTGTCTTCTTTATTGTATGAAGAATTTGATAGGATGAAATCTTGGAGCTGGTGGAAACAGTGGCTCCCCCTGGGCTGGAGCCCAGCGTCGGCCTGGCAGCCAGTCTTACAGACACACACGGCTAGCCCTCCCTCTCCGGTGGTTCATGGCATGTCACAGTCGGGTGACAGTCGCAGCTACCGCTCAGTCACTGGTTCCAGTCCACCTCTGTAGCCGTCCTGGGGAGGAATGTGTAGCCATTCATACCCTTCCCTTTGGTTATCAGACTGCTGAGGCAATGGATCCCAAGCTTCTGCTCTTGACTGTCCTAGATGGCACCTAGGGTCCTGGATCCCTGAACCTGAGTTACACACATCTCCAGTCCAGACCATTCATCTCTACCTTTTCCAAGCAGCATGTGGTCCCCAGGGGAGGGGCTGTGGCCAAGCTTATCCAGACCCGGCAGCCCCACATCACGTTTAGAAAGCAATCTCTTTCCTTGGGAAGGGCAGGGTGAAGAGTCCTTCAGAATGCCTGCAACCCCTAGAATGACACGACCTTCCCTGGGCCCCTGCTCTTCTGTAGCTTGAATAATAGAAACCAGAGACAGATATTGGGGTTCACATTAAAGATCAGAAAAGCAAAGCAGTCAGCCACTGGCTCTTACCTCTACCTCAGACCAAAATGGGCGATCCTGCCTCCACCAGTCCTAAGACTGAGACCGAGCTAAGACCTGTCTCCTCCCATTTTATATTCCTCTCTAGTGTTGGAATAAAAGGCGTGTGTCACCAGTGCCTGGGCTGTATGGCTAACTAGTGTTGTTGCTGGGATTAAAGGTGGGTGCCACCGCTGACTGGTATGGCCGCTTTGCATTCAGATCTGCAGGTAAGCTTTATTCATTAAAAATTATTATTATTAAAAGTAATAAACCATCATACGCTTCTGATATTCCCTCTTGGCTGCCCAAGACCATCCTTCCACCTCTCCCACCCCCATGAGAGCACACAGCATGTCCTGCCTCCATTTTTTTCTTTTTCCACTTCTCATTCTTTCTTTTTGCCTCTCTCCCCTCAACCCCTCTTCACCTGTTCCGCTCTTAGCTGCCTTCTATCCTCTTGTTCTTATCTTTGTAGATACAACATGCTCGTCCCTCAATAGCTCCTTAGTAAGCACTTGGACACAGCTCTGAAGGAAACAAGCATGGGCTATCTTAAGAATACTCCATGCAGGGAGAAGTGCGGAGATTCTGGGGAAGAAATCTGCCTGGGAGCTGGAGCGACAGGTAAGCCAGGTCTCCCTTTGGTGGAAAACTTTCTTAGAGTTCACCTTACCCTGAACTACAAAGACCCAACTCTGAGCCCTCTGGGCACCCTGAAACTGTGAAGGCTAAAATTTTAAGTTTAAATTGCTGTGCTTAAGAGAGCTATAAAACAAAAATGCCTCCAATCTGTAGCCCCCACCCACCACGCTTGCCCAAAGGCAGATATTCCTGGAATGCTGGGGCTGTTGCTTATGGATGATAATGAGCCACGTGTTTTCCCTTCTATAAACAAGGTTGGTTGCCCCAATTGCAGAGGATGTGCTTGATCACAAGTAGGTGGTGGCACATAGGCAGGAAGTACGTCGTGATGTATGCTTGGCCCTGATTGGACGAAGGCAAGACGTATGTATTCTTGTGAATTTTTGCCTTTATAAGTACCTGACCGATGTAGCTTGCAGCCATTCTCTGGGAATCTCAACTATGGACCTGGGTAGTATCCATGATCCTGGTCAGTAACTTAAGAAAGCTTGGTTCAAATTTGACCCAAAACTGTGGAAGCGAGTGATCTTATTCTCACCCGGTGAGATTAATAGAACCTATTTGTGCTGTGATGCCCACTCCAACAAAATCCCTAGAGACAGAAATTGTGTCTTGTTTTGACATTCATGCCTCGTGTGGGGCAAATCCTTTCATCTATAGGGTAGAGACAATTGTGTTGTTAAATCAAATGTTTTGTCTGACACCACCTCTGTAAAGTTTGCCTCAAAGACTTCTCTCTAAATAGTGAACTGAAGCTTGACTTGACACACAAATAAAACCTACTTACAAAAATAGTCACCCACACAACAAGTAATGGAACCCCCTAGACGCTCACCAATAGAAGAGTGGCAGGTGTGCACAATGGAGAATTATTCGGCAATAAACGACATTACATCATCTGCAGGGAAACTGACAGAATTGGAGATGACCATGTTAAGGGAAGTGGCAGGGACACAAAGACAAATGCCATGCTTCCTCTTGTGTGTGGAATCTATCTCTCCATCCATCTACTCATCTGTCTATCAGTACCTCATCTGTAATGATCCATACTACATGAAAGGACGAGGGAAGTGTTGAGATACAGGACCAGTAGGGGAGGGAAGGGAGAGAAGAATGGCTAATAGTGGTGAGTGAGCAGAGGGTGTGATGCGCAGGCCTAAAAACGTCATAGTGAGGGCAGCAAGATGGCTCGGTGGGTGAAGGGGCTTGCAGCTAAACCTGACAACCTGAGTTCAATCCCAAGGACCCACATGTGTGGAGGGCCACAACCACATTCTCCATTGCTTCAAGGGACAAAGGTAGAGATTGACCTCTGTGAACTCAAGGTGTGGTAGTACACGCCTTTGGTCCCAATGCCTGGGAGGCAGAGACAGGCAGATCTCTGTGAGTTCAAGGTGTTGTAGCACATGCCTTTAATCCCAGCGCATGTGCTTGGTAACTTTCTACTGCTGCGTCCCCGCCTACTTCTGAGGCATCATCTGGGATAATGGGCAGCGGACCAATTCAAGAGTGACACGTCAGAAGCGAGGACTGTTTCCTTTATAAGGGCTGGGTTCCCTCATTCTTGGTCTCTGCTATGTAAGCTTATGCTCTCCCTCTCAAGACGCATTAAAGCTTTGCTGCAGAAGGATCCTAAGTGCCCCGCGTCGTTCTTGCTGGCCAGACGGTAGCGCGGGACACACATGGTGGAAGGAGAGAACTAGGTCTCACACATTATTTTCTCTCTTTGTCTCTCCTCTCTCTCTCTCTCTCTCACACACACACACACACAAACACTGGCTTGTGCAAGTCTCCACAATCCCAGAAAAGAAATAAATATGCATGATGAAATCCATCACTTTACACAATGAACACATGATAGTGAAAAAGTTAGCATATTCTCAATGTAAGAAGCCAAAACACACTGCCTATGTGAATATTTAGACTGGAGGTTTAAGTATTTTGTTTGTTTGTTTTGTTTTTAATAACCCAGTCCTTGGGCCTTCACAAGCTCCCTAATGTTCAGATCAGGCACTCACAACCCAGTGAATTCTACCCAGTCAGGCTGACTCCCTCTCTTTCCACACCACTTCCTTTCCTCTGGCTATAAATACAGCCTGCCCTTGTCAGGGTGGGGCATCCTGAACCACTCTTGGTCTGGAGTGTTGCCTGACTCAAATCACCACCACAGTGAAGGCCTATGGCAAGCTGCTAACAAGGCTTGTCACATTCCCCTGCAGCAGTAAGGTTGTTGCAGATCTGAGCACAGAGAGGCTCCTTCTAGTCACAAAGCACTTAATCTCTGGGTTGAACCCAAATGCCCCAATGTCAAGGCTGAATACCGTCCAGAGCGGGGCACTCAGAGAAGGGAGGATGCAGAAGGGAAAAGAAAGAGCTCCTGTAAGATCCAGCCAGCAATGGTGTGGCACACTTCTCCGGATTGCATGGTTTGTGCCCTAGGTGAATGGCACACAGAAGGTAAGGGAGTGTTAACTAAGGTGGATGAACCCTTCCCCAAAGGGAAATGTTTTCTTCTGGTTTGGATTAAGAAGAAATCCAGGGTGCTGAGGAGATGGTTTGTCCATAGAAGCGTGTAAGCATATAGACCTGAGCTTGCTCCCCAGAACCCATGTAAAGGAAACGAAATGAAAGAATGCAAACAAAACACAGACACAGCGTTTGTGCCTGTCATCCCAGCACAGAGGAGGCAAGGAGCTTACAAAATGGCCAGTGTATTCAGTCAGTGAGCTCCAGGATCAGAAAATGAATTGGAGATGTGATTGAGTCAGACACCTGAGTTAAACCTCTGACCTCCACATGCATACAATGCATATGCATGCATGCTTGTACAAATATATGTACATACATGCCCACACAAACATGTTCATACATCTGAGAAAGCTGGACAAGCCTTCAGGTGAACGTCAGCGTGAGCCATAACCCACCCTGCCCATAACCCTTTCTGCCCTGGCTTTGTTCATTTTAGGAATGACCATCTGAGTACCCTTACTTTAGGCATGACCTGCCTCAGGAACTGCCCCAGCCCTGGTCTGATAAAGATGCATGTAAGGGATCCTGAAGCCCTAGGAGCTTCCTCTGGCAGAAGCAGTATCCACCCCTCCCCTGGCCCCCTCTGGTTTCTCTCTCTCCAGTCCATTGCCTCCTCCTCCTTGAGGCCCCTCTCTCCCCATAACTGACCTCTTTGGCCTGGTCTCAGCTCCTGCTCCCAGGGCTGTTCCCATGAGCAGTCTTAGTAATCAGAATCCCCAAGTTTATGGCCTGCAGCCCAAGCATTAGGCCCCCAAGCTGCGAAATAGGATGGACAGACTCGGACGCTGTCTGTGGGAGCACACAGTGAACACTGGCCTGCAGTCACCCTGCTCAGCCCCCAGCAGCCTTCAGGGTGGCAGAAAGTCCAACAAAAGAAGAGACTGGCACAGCCCTGGCTCTTCTGCCCCAGGGCCCTGGGCAGTCACCCAGCACATCCCAGCAGGGAGGGGAGTGGTCCAGTCCCAGGTTATCCAAGTCACAGCCTTCTTCTTGTCACAAGCGTGTGCTCTTCCCTGCAGTCCTGACTGACCCCCATGGAGCCTGCATTGGAACTTAATTACCTGAGAGGCTGCTAAGAGCCTTGACTGTCTGAGGCCCCAGGTGCCTTGGTCTTGTCCTGGCCCAGAGGGTGGACACAGATCCTGCGTTGGGATGGCTCCTGGGACAGTGGAGAACTAGGTGCTGCTAAAGCTTCTGAAGAGGCCAGAGTGTCTCTGGATATTGGGGTTAGACCTGTAGATCCCTGGCAGAGAAGCACAGTTTCAGTTTCGATTACTCCAAAAATGCTTTTCTGAATAACAAGGGAAAATTTCTGTCTGGTTGGGGCTCAGATTCACAGGTTCAGGGAAAGTCATGACCCCTGGGGATGTCGAAGTCCAATCCTGGACAGTGTACAGAAGCAGGCATGCCACCAACATCAACAAAGTGAGTGACAGATGAGCTAAGAGCAACAGAGGAAGCAGACATTACTCCTTACCCTGCCAAATCAACAACCAAGGAAAAAAGAGGAAGGCCCTCCATGGCCTCTGCATCAGCTCCTGCCTCCAGGCTCCCACTTCATGCTCTGGCTTCCCTAATGATACCTGTGTAATCTGTGAGTCAAATAAACCCTTTCCTTCTCGAATTGCTTTTGGTCAGAGTTACATCACACCACCGGAGAGACAAAATGACAATAACATATTGTTATTCTTTTATAAAGATATGGTGGTAGGGGACCGGTCCCTTGAGGGATAGTGGTCCCACCAGGAGCATTGGCGGGTCACGGGAGTCCTCAGTGGGTTCCCTTAGCGGGTGGGAGACTGTGGAGAGTGAGAGACAGATATGTCTTGCAGAGAGAAAGTTTGAGTGTAGAGTTTATTTAGTGGGTTAGGGAGGGGAAGGGAAGGGGAGAAGAGGAGAAAGAAGTTACCTCTACAGAAGAGGAAGGGGAAGATAGAGAGCCCACTGGAGAGGAGGGGGGATCTGCTAACCTTGGTGCAAGGGGGTTTGGGAGTGGGCAGAGCTTGTCTCTTAAAGGCACAGAGTACCCAGGTGACAGGGAAGGTCAACAGAATAATAACCCATGTGCACTAAACTCTGTCACATTCCTGTATGCAAAGGCAGAGACAAATCCAGATACAGTGCTAGTGGGAGCTTTGATTTCCCCGCTCCCATTGATGTATCCATCGATCCTTCAGGAAAAAGGAAACACCTAAGACACTCCAGACTTAACCTGACAAAGTTATCAATGCAATCTCCGACAAAATTCCACCAAGATAGACAACAAAATCCAGAACTTCATGTGGAATCAACAAAGTCCTAAACTGTCAAGGGCAGCAGGACCTTCTTAGCATATTAGACTACAGACTGTGGGACTCCAACATCACGGACACTCTCCACATTCCAGAAAGGACTCCACATTCCAGAAAGGAATAAAGGCCTGAGAAAGTGAAAGAGGCTGTCCAGCTGGTGTAATGATTTGGATTTAAATGTCCCTGAAAAGCCCTAATGATGAAACCCTGGTGTCCAGCCTTGACATATTGTGAAATGATGGAAATTTAGCAAGATAGTGGACATCAGGGAAATCCCTGGGGCTATGTCGGGAAAGGGCTATCCGAATCCTTGATTCCTTGATCTCTCTCTCTCTCTCTCTCTCTCTCGACCATTTCTAATCTCTCACCTTTCTTCCTGGGGATGGCAGCCTAGCTCGGGCAGAGCACAGCCTGTTGTCTGCAGCCACAGAAACACAAACATCATCATCTTAACCGAGTGGTTCCACGCGGCTGCCTGCAGCCCGGGCAGTTCCTTTCCCCTCTGTGACTTCCTCTCAAGTAAAACCATGTTCCTGTCTACACCATAGAAAAGAACTTCAGGATAGTGTAGAGGTCAAGTTCATTAAAAGGCGTTTTTGACCTAGATTTGAAACTCAAGTACCCACCCAAAGGAACAGTGAGACACCCCCAAGTATGGGTAGAGGCTCCTCGAAGGAGAGTCGCTCCGTGTCTGGGCAATAGCTGCACATGTAACCCCTCGGCTTTCTAATTCCCATCACTAGGAGAAAATAGTTCACAGCAAGTTGAAAGGTTAAACATTTCTGTAGTTGACATTTCATTTGTACTTTAATAAATAAAGCTTGCCTGAAGATCAGAGAGTAAAACAGTCATACTGATCAGCAATACAAACTAGACAGTGGTGGCAAGCACCTTTAATCCCAGCAGAAACCCTAGGTAGCTATTGACGCTGGGTGGTGGGGTGGTTCATGCCTTTAATCCCAGTACTAGAGAGGATTACAGAATGGGAAGAATAGGTCTCAGTCTGAGGATTCCTGGAGGCAGGATTGCCATGATCTACAGTAGAGGTAAGAGCCAGTGGCAGGCTGCTTTGCTTTTCTGATCTTCAGGTTGAACCACAATATCTGTCTCTGCATTTCTATTATTTGTAGTACAATTGGTGCCAAACATTTGGAGCACAAATTCATGAAAAAAGCAACCGGAACAGGCCGCAGCTACACGTGGGGCACCTACTGAAGCTGGAGCCCCACCTGGCTAGGCGTTCTTTTCTCCCTGCTCCCCGAGACTCTGAGCAAGTTTGGTATTTTTCTGTCAGATCCTTCCTGCAGCCCTCTAACACATGTGCCTGAACCGTCCCCTGGGTGTTTTTCAGAGATTTGCTGTATTATGTTTGCTTGAGTTAATCTGAGTGCTAAGATACAGGCCTTAGAAAAACGTAATGAAACAGTTCACAGAGATATTCAAATCCAGACAGAAGAATTTAACGGAGAGGCAATTTTAGCATTGTCGAGGCAAATCAGCGCAGTTCACACGGTTCTGAGAAATGAAGACTCAGAGACACACTGAGAATGAACTTAGCTCTGTAGCCACAGGACTCAGTCCTGGTGAACTGAAGCCTTCCCTTCACCTCCCAGCTTCTTAAATTTTCCTATATTAACACTTTGGCTAGAAAGCTTTCCACATCTCAAAACAAACTGAGAGAAGTTTCTGATAATACAACGCCAGGTACAAATCCCTGATTCATGAAATACTGCAGTTTTCCGGGATTCGCCTGAACCAAGTTTTTTTTTTTTTTATTAAAACTTTCCACCTCCTCCCTTCCTCCCATTTCCCTCCCACTCCCCCCAGTCCCCCTCCCCCTCCCTCTCAGGTCCTAAGAGCAGTCAAGGTTCCCTGCCCTGTGGGAAGTCCAAAGTCCTCCCCTGCTCCATCCAGGTCTAAGAAGGTGAGTAACCAAACAGACTAGGCTCTCACAAAGCCAGTCCATGCAGTAGAATCAAAACCCAGTGCCATTGTCCTTGGCTTCTCAGTCATCCCTCATTGTCCGCCACATTCAGAGGGTCTGGTTTGATCACACGTTGGCCCTGGACTAAGTTTTGCATAGGCTTTGTATCCATGGGAAACTCTCACTCAAAATTCACATAGGACAACAAAAGGGAAATGTAACACAAGCTAAGGCCTGGGGCTGGGGTGAAAATTCCAGGGTCCAGGCCAGGTATAACCCAAGGGGGGCTTCATGGTTAGTGGAGGTTGCTTGCTATCCCTCTGGTACCGGGCCATCAGGACATTCTACCACACAGCACTGTATTATAAGAATAGAGAGGAACAGCCAAAGGTTTTCAGACAACCAACCTTCATATAATCAGTAACGCTACAGGAAGTGTCAAATACAGAGGATCTGTTACAGCTAATAAGACTCCTGGGCCAATGTTAGATTTAAGGGGATTCAAGGAAGCAATCGTCTCATGTGGCATGCAGTCACCTTTTGTGGGGCAAACGTTAAACTCATGGTCAGTTTGTAGTAGAATCATCCCTAATGACTGAATAGATTCCGTTAAAAGTGTTTTAGAGCCTGGTCCACGATTACAATGGAGTGCTGGTTCAGAGAAGAGGCTAAGACTATTGAGCAATGGTGTAAAGCAAGAGGTAGGGAAATCTTCCAAGATCAAATTCTTGGAGGAAGAGACTATGCTACTACAGAAGGGCAAGCTGTATATGATGACCACACCCTGGATTTATGCCATGTCGCAGCTTTGAATGCTTGGGACAGAATTGGAGAAATAGGAGGGTAAATTAAGTAAATTTAGTAAGAATCACTCACAAAAGTTGTACATGGCCCAAAGGAAGATGTTACAGATTTCTTACAAAGACTGACTTCTGTAGTAAATAGAAGGATGCCAAATTCAGAAGCTAGACAAATAATAATTGAATCTCTGGCTTTTGAAAATGCCAGTTCCCTACACAAAAGGTCATTAAAGGCAAGGCCAGCACCTTTGGTGGAATGGATCTGAGATACAATTAATATTGAATTTCATGAAGATGATGATGCGTGGATAGGAGAAGTGATTTCCAGAGGTTTGAGAAAAAATTGAAATGTCCAATGTTATACCTGTGACAAACAAAGTCACCTTAAAAGGGATTGTAGACAGGGTGTTCCTAGGGACAATGATTTTTCTAAGAATAATCCATTCAAAACACCCTTCCCTTTTGGATTATATGGAAGGTGTGGCAAAGGCAGGCATTGGACTATGAATGTAGGTCAACGAGGAATATTCATGGTAATCCTGTGCCATCAGGAAACTCCATGAGTGGTCACTTTCAGGCCCCTATGCCAAATCTGGTTCAGTCATTTTCTGCCCTCTTAGAGAAAACTCATTCCCAGAGCAATTGAAGAACCTAATGCCTATTGTAAGAAACCATTCTGCTCTGAATAATAGAACAGCTCTAGAAGAGAGTACGAAAAATTCAGGAGAAACTATAAAACGAGTATTTTGGCAAACTTCTATAAATAAACAAAGACCAAAATTAAAGGCAACAACCACCCTACCTTTAAAATAGTTGACAGACAACCTGTATGGGTTAAACAATAGCCTTCAACAATAGAGAAACTGCAGGCTTTAGAACAGCTGGTACAGGAGCAACTAGATGCTCAACATATTGAAGAATCAACCAGCCGTTGGAATACTCCTGTATTTGTGATTAAAAATAAATCTGGAAAATGGTAACAAAACGAAGCTGTTAATAAGGTGATTCAGCCAATAGATTCTCAACAGTCTGGCATTCTTTTGCCTTCTCTACTGCCTAAAGGATAGCCTCTCATAGTTGTTGATTTAAAAGCTTTTTTCTTCACTATATCTTTTCAAGAAAAATATAGAGAAAATTTTGGCTTCACAGTGCGGCACAGTGCCTACTTACAGCCCTTCTCAGTCTGTTAAGTGATATCAATAGAAGATTCTCCCAAAAGGAGCATTAAATGGCCTCCCCCTGTGCCAATATTTTTATAAATCAGCCATTGGAAATGATATGCAAGCAATTTCCTCAGTCTATAGTTTACCACTACATGGATGACATTTCGTCACCTGTTTCAAATGTATATACTTTAGAAAGAATGTTTGAAGGAGCAAAGGAAATATTGCCTTGTCAGGGATTACAAATTGCTCCGGAACCAATATAAATAGGAGATTCTATTAATTCTTTTGGCTATAAAATAGGTTTCCAAAAAAGTAGACCCCAAAAAGTGCAAATTAGGGGAGATTGATTGCAGATTCTTAATGACTTCCAAAGATTGCTAGAAGCCATTTTGCATCTATAGCACATTATTGGGGTAGGTCTTGATGACTTGATTCCTTTAAACAAAACTTTACATAGTAACAAGGACTTCAATAGTCTCAGGGAATTATCAGCTGGAGCTAAGAGAGAATTGACTTTGATTGAAGAGAAATTACAGAAGGCACATGTGGATCATGTGGATCCAAAACTTAACTGCATTGTAAGCTGTAAAATGGAATTGTTAGGGTGTTGTCAGGAAGAAATATACAAAATCAGAGATAGAAGTTCTTTGAGCCTAGAAAAGTCACCATTTGCTTAGTTTAGTTATCTTTAATGGTTTTTAACTTGAGATGTTTTCAGGAAAAAACGCCCATCATCAATGCAGGCAATTTTGGCTTTATCAGCAGTGTGCGACTCTGACAGCTGGAATGACAAATCAACCACATCTCAGGACACAGGATTTCTTTTCCCTATCCCACCTCCTCAATATTCCTTCTATCCTACCTTGCTATGAGTGACAAGTCTTGTTTTGCCTTAGAAATGTTTCCATCTTCCCAAGAACATTGGCTACGGCTTTTGCAAACATAGCCTTTAGGATTTTATCTAATTTAATGAGGGTTTTTTATCATAAACATAGTTTGTATGTTACAAAGTTGATATACTACATCTATTGAGATGGACAGATGGCTTTGCTTCCCCCTCTGTTGACACAAAATGCCTTCTTTCATCAATTTGCAGATACCAAACCATCCTTGCATTCTAGGAATGAATCCCATGGGATCCTGGGTGTGACCTTTTTAACCTAATGTTACATCTAGTTTGTGAGCATGTTGCTGAGAATTTTTGACTCTGGTCATCAGAGAGCACATTTTGGTCTTCATTACCCTCATCCATCCTGTGATTCCCATTTGAGCAGACATCTTGTCTTGTTCAGAGATGCCCAAGAGCTTAGGTATAGACATGGGTGGAAAGAACACAAACAAGTGGACAGAATTCTAAGAGAAAGTACTGAAAATGAGAAATGAAGAAATTCCATCTGGTGTCACCAGGGTCCTTAGTATTGATGGAGTCCTAAAGACTGGACTTGGTGGGGCCACCGGGATATATGGAGGGGGAAGACACTTCTGACTATTGCTTAGTAAGTGCTCAGGAACCTGAGAGGCTGAACCAAGGGGGAATGTCCACCCCAGGGGATGAGGTCTCTGAAGGAGATGAGATCTCCCTGAACCTTGATGTAGGCTTCACATCAGCTACTCAGGGGAGGAGCCTGGCCAGAGAGGAATGCAGGAGCTGGCAAGGAGTCACTTTACTTCATTGTGCCTTCCTTCCTCCCTCCCTCTGTCCCTCCTTCCCTCCTCCTTCCTTTCCTTCCTTCTTTCCTTTCTTCCTTCCTTCCTTCCTTCCTTCCTTCTCCACATAGAGCCTTGCACTGAGGTGAAGCTGGGTTCTTGGCTTTGCCATGGAAAGTGTATCAGGCTTAGCCTGCAGTGAAACAGGCTCATGGAAGGACTCTTAAAGCAGAGGCCTCAAGCACAGAAATTAACAGTGAGGTGCCCAGGGGAAGAGAGAGATCCTCAAGTGTGGATGTGGGTTTCTCATGGGAGTGTCACCCTTGGCCCTGGGTCTCTCTAGTTTCCATCACTCTGGGTAATTCCCAGCAAGTTGGGAGGTCAAACGGTGTCCTGTTATGAACAAAGTTGGAAAGTGGGTTTACAAGGTGTGTTGTTGGGAATAAGAAGTGCGAAAAGTCAAGGGTAGCAATCATTTGGGTCCTCAGTAGGCATGGCTGAATTTGTCTTTAACATTTTCGGTTGAGATGTCTCAAGGAAACTGCCTGTCACCTATGTGGGCGCTTCTGGTGTTATCACCAGTGTTGGAGCTTCCTGGCTGTGCCAGCAGGAAGAATAAACCAACCAGATCTCAGGTGAAGGGGTTCCTTCTCATGTCACTCCAGTTTTGGGTCTCTCTATCTTGCCTCCTTTAGAATACTCATTTTGAGGAGCTTTGGCATTAGTAGAAAGCCACGGAGAATACTATTTTCCTGACAGGGGAGACACCTTGATCATGAAGGTAGTTTTCTCAGTGAGGCTTGTCCACTGCACCCTGGATGTGCTGACCCCTGCCATTTCCCCAGATGTGGGAAACTTGACTATAATTTGTTGTAGTGAGAGGAATATTTGTACTCACCACTTCCAAGGAAGAAACAAACATGTGCACACACACAGCTGCACACACATGCACCTGCACACACAGGCACAACCACAGACACATAACCACACAGAGAAGAAAATCACATGGGATGAGAGAGGGGGAGGACCATGAAGGGGAGGAAGAAGAGAATATGGAGATGCTGGGCTGTTTGGGGAACAGAGAATCCAGCTAATCCAATCCTTCCCGTGCTGGAGTGGTCTGTGGGGCCCCAAGAACTTGACTCCAGAACGTCCTTATCACCCCCTCAAGAAGTTTGTGCAGCCTTGAACCTCACAGAGGCTTAGCATGTATCTTTTGTGATTGAATGAATGATAAATGGATGAAATGAACAAACTCTACTGAATCAATGTCCTCTTTCCTATTTGCAAATGTCAAAATCCGTTAGAAAAAGGAACATTCCTGGCTTACAAACACTCTCATTCCCACTGCTTACACAGACCTTGCCCACTCCTGGGAGTGGCTGCTAGGAGGTGACCTGTTGGTTACACCCAGATTGGATAGAGAAACTTCCTCAGCCAGGAACTGAGCCCTTTTCTCAGCAGCCAGAGAGTTTCAAAATCGGCTGGATTTATTATAGTGTCAACCTATGTTATGAGGAGTTTCCAGCCCTCAAGGCTGTCCAGCCAGATGATGAGGGGGAAAAGGGGGGGATTGCTCAGGGACTTCGGTGTCCTATTTACGAGTCCACTATTTGACCACGCCCACCTATCTATCCCGGTGTCTCACCACCCCCCAACCCTGCAGAAGGAAAGGCTATTTAAGGGCAGCTGACGTTCAGGGAAAACAAGACAGGCCCTTGAGGAAGAAGCTGCGGCATCACCCGAGAGGTAAGTGCCCAGAAACTCCAGCCTTGTGACTGCATTTGAGTGGTTGTCTAGGTGCATGCATGTGTGTGCTAATGGACAAGCCTATGGATGTGAGCCTCCATCGTGTAAACATGTAAAAGACAGTATTTGTATGCTAGTATGTTGTATGGGTTTGTGAAGGTACTGAGCAAGAATTCAAGAGCACGTGTGCACACATGCGACCTGCATGGGGTTAGAAAGGCTTGCAAAGAGAATGTGCAGTTTAGTTCAGGACAAGAACTGTTGGGAAACAGACCCCATAGATGGAGTTCCCAAGCCTTCACTCTAATGTAGGGATGCGGGTTGAGTATCTAAGGAGGAGAGGCGTTGCCTTCAGCCTCCCAGTGTTGTGGAATGAATCCAGTCTCCCAGGAGAACTGAAGGAGGTGCTGGGTGATCCCGGTACTGTATCATATTCCCCAGAGCAGGGAAGGGACAAGAGGTGACACGCGTGAAGGGACAAGAGGTGACATGCGTGATGCACTGTCTGAGGCCACCCTATGCTCTCTATGACTTAGCCCCACGCAAGAGCACGTCTGTACTCCAGGGTTGTTACGTCAGACAGCAGAGCAGGGGCTGGGGCAGAGGATGAGACTCCTGTAGGAAACGCCCGGGCCAGTCGTCTATACTTGTCGTTCACAGGCTGACAACATGAAGGTCCTCCTGCTGCTAACAGCTGTGATCATGGCCTTTGGTAAGACTTGTTCTGAACTCAGCAGAGTGGGGCGTAATCTAAGGAGGGGGCACCCCATCCTCCAGTGCCCCTTCCCATTGCCCCAGCCCTCTCTCAGTGGGAATGGGGAGGAAGGCATTTGTGGGGAGAGAAGCAGTAGAGAGATGCCAATGCGGAGGAGGAGGGGCACAGGGCTCACTGCCCTTCACTGGCCATTTCTCCATCTCCTTTCAGGCCCAATACAGATCCAAGGGAGCCTTGCAGAGTTTAGACAAATGATCTTACTTAAGACGGGAAAGAGAGCTGAGACAAGCTATGCCTTCTATGGTTGCCACTGTGGCTGGGGTGGCAAGGGATCCTCCAAGGATGCGACAGATCGGTGAGGACACCCCTATCTTCAGTTCACTCTGTCTGGGACGGGACTAGGACAGAGGTGGTACCAGTTGCCTCAGGGCCCTGGTGGGGTCAGGACTAGGACAGACCTGGTATTTTTCCTCAGGGCCATGGGGTACCCCCGCCAGTAAAACAGTCAGTGCCTTGGGAACTCTGTTCTAGACCCCTCCAATGTTTCTGAGTCTCTGCTCAGAGTTAAAGATCAGGGGATGTGGGGGAGGCACCAGGATTTCAGGGCTGTGAAAATGCAGCCTCAACAGGACATGCCCCCCCTGCCCCCACCGACCAGGTGCTGTGCTGCTCACGACTGTTGCTACGCCCGGCTGCAGAAGCACGGCTGTGGCACAAAATTTCTGACCTACAAGTTCTCCTACCGAGGGGGCAAAATCACCTGCTCTGGTAAGAAAAACCCTGAGATCCTGGGAAACGGCCCTCACGTGTTTATTGAGCAAATAAATGCTGGGCAGTGTGCTGGAACAGAAGGGGAATTTATCTCTGCTTAGAACCTCAAAGAAGACTCCAATGGAAAGGCAGAAACAGGTTTTGTACAGCCTGAGGCTTGCAGGGTGGCCTGCAAACTGTGGTACCTAAGCTGAGTCCTAAGAGAGTCAGTGAGGCTCACAGTGGGAGAGGAAGGTTGGGCCATCCCCCAAACAAGGCACAACATGGCCAAAAGTTCAAAGAGGACCGTTGGCCACTCTGAGCAGTGAGACAAAGAAGGGACAGGGACAAGCCGGGCCTTCCTAGCCATTGTCTTGAGGTTTGGGGACCACAGCGACAGAGACCTATTATTTAGCAAAGCAGCAAAAGACACTTCTGCACAAAGAGGGCTCACCCTGGCTGGGGATGATGGGCAGGAGCGGGGGTGGGGGGCAGCGAGCCATGCTGCCTGCAGGGTGGTGACACATGGAGTAATGGGGCCTCTGTCAGATGGGAAAAATTCTAGGGCAGTGTGGTGCCAATCTGGGCAACTGCTACAGCCCGGGATCAAGCCTGCTCCTCAGCTCCGGCATGGTGCCAACATCTGTGCTTATACTGCAAGTCACACTAGAGCTCCCAGAATGACCTTGGCCACCCACAACAGGTGGCTTTCCCTCTCCAAGACTCTTTGAAGATGGGGAATGAACACTTCCCAGAAGCCCCTGCTGACTTCTTCTTTAGCACTTCATTCAGAATAAAGCTGCATATTACCTAAGACCAATCACAACAAAGGGGAAGGAATAGACCACACAGGTTTTCACCAATTCCATTCATCCTGAGGTCAGTGAGGCTGGGTTTCCTTACACAAGCAGGTCTGTTAACACGAAGGTGGGGCCAGAGATATAGCTCAGTTGGCAGAGTGCCAGCCTCACATACACAAGGACCTGGCCTATCCAATGGGGTCTGCCTTTCCAGTGGCCCCAGTACTTGTCTCAGAACAGGCCGGTCCCCAGCAGCAGCCATAGGATATTAACAACCGTCAGCTCAGTGTCTGCTTTCCTCTAATTTCAGCCAACCAGAACTCCTGTCAGAGACAGCTGTGCCAATGTGACAAAGTCGCAGTTGAATGTTTCTACCGCAACCGGAAAAGCTACAATTTAAAGTATCAATTCTATCCCAACAAGTTTTGCAGTGGAAAGTCGCCAAAGTGCTGAGGGAGTAGCCTTGTTCAACATCTGGACACATTGTCTCCTTTAGCAACCCTTCCCAGCCAAACCAAGTCCCCCCAGTGATAAAAACACCCCTCTCCCACCCTACAGACAGAGTGGGGGCCCTTCTGTACTCATCCAGAATGAGACCCCAAAGCCTGGTGTGTTACACTGATCTTTCCTCATCACTCATCTACCTTCAACGGGCAGATTGTTGGCCTCCAGCTTCCCCTTTGCATGCAACTTCCTGCCTTGCAGTACCAAAGAGAACCCTGGGAGGCTCTTACAAATAAAGTACTTCACTAACAACCATGTGTGTTCTCTTACCATGGAATGAGGCTGATATAAAGTATATATGCTAAAAGTATAGGGGCTGCGACAATAGCTCAGTCCATAAAGAACTTACCAAGCTTGAGGACCTGTGTTCAACCCCAGAACCCACACACATGAAGCACACACTTGTTTACAACCTTAGAGTTGGGGAAACAAAGACAGGTGGATCCTGCGGCTCCATGACCAGCCAGCCTACTTGAATCAGCGAGTTCCAGGTCGGTGAGAGACCCTGCCTCCAAAACCAAGGTAGATAGTGTCCTGAGGACCAAAACCTGAGCTTGTTCTACAGCTTCCACACATAAATGTGCACACATATGCATGTATGCATGGGCATGCACACACACAGACACAGAGACACACATGCACACACACATACACACATGAACAGGCTTCCTGGTCAGTCAAAACGGGTCTAACTATAAATACCCCACCACTTTAAGCCCTGATTCTCTTATTCAGGTGGAGCTCCTTGTCAGAGCCTCCTGCTAGGGCTTGTTTGGCAATTTAGGGGGGACACAGATGTCAAGCAGTGTCCAACCACTACAGCTGCCATCCCTGTCAAAGGCTGAACTCCCTCTCCCCGCCCCCAGGCTAGAACTGTTTTTCTTAGCCTATGGGAAGATGCAGAAGCTGAAGCAGGCAGAAGAAAGTGGAGTTGCTTCTGTCAAGGCTCTGCCACTTTGAACTTAAAGACAACAGAGATTACGGTGGATGGCACCATGTGCCCACACGCCTGGCGCAGACCCACTTCCAGAAGACTGCCAGAGCCATGGCGTGTGCAAAGCTGCCCACCGAGCAAAAATAAACTCCTGGGCCTCCTGCACTTGTCAAACTGAGAAGCTTTGCACAGATCCTTAAGATGTCCTGACAGCTCCACACTTCTCTTTGCCTGGAAAGGAACAGTCAGAAACCAGTGAGGTCCCCCAGTTCCTGGTGCGTCTGTGGGAGCAAGGCTGATGAGGGGCGGCACTCAGTTGTCTCTCTCCGCTGTCCCTTCTGCCTACGTCGAATCTGCTAATTTTTTCACATATTAAGATAAAGACAAACTGCAATAAAAAAAATAAAACATGCCAACCCCCAGATGAGAGGTTTTTTTTTTTTTTAATCCAATAGAAGATGAGATTTTTAACTCCTCCCACCATCGGATAGTGATCCTGCAACTTACATCAACTCCTTGGCAACCCAGGCGCCTGAGGCACCCTCCTCAGACATGAAAACTTGGGATTTGAGGCTTGAGATGATGAGCTTCATGAAGCTGTTCTGCCCTTTCAAGTCCCCCAATGCCGGAGCCTGAGCCTTGTGCAATAGTCAGATCTCTGGCACAAGAAATCCGTTCCAAGTGTCATGCCCACACCAACACTGCCAATAACCTTCCAAAACTCATTCCCAAAAACACTTCCTACCCAAACTGAGGAGTCAAGTAAACATTCAAGAAAAGCAAAAAAATAAAAATAAAAATAAAAAAAAAAGGATTGAGCCAGGTAGGGGCATTGGCAGGCCGGCAATATGGCTTTCGTGAGTTTAAATGTTTATTAACAGGTTTGCCAACCCGCTTGATCTCTGGAACTGCTAAAGTGAAAGGGGAGAAAGTTGTCCTCTGACCCAGACATGACGGGTGTAGTGGGAGGCACCTGTGTGCTCATACTCACATACGTGTGTGTGTGTGTGTGTGATATGTTTATACGTATATATATATATATATATAATTTTTTAAATGCAATTTTAAATGCAATAATAGCAATTACTATTATTATTATTATTATTATTATTACATTTAGGATGCTCTTTTGGCAGTGCATTATCATCTAGTGCTAGTTAACATATAAACTGAGTGACTTAGAGGAGAGCCAGAGCTATACAGAGAAACCTTGTATCAGGGAGTAAAAGAGAGCCATCCCCACTGCGTCCACTGCACAGAAGCTGGACTCAGCCTGGCAGCAGAGCCTCTGGGCATGCCTATGCATATATGTATATTGTCTTCATTCCATTAACTGACATGGGAAGACGCATCCTCATTGTGGTTGGCGCCATTCTCGAGATCAGGGGCCCTGAAAACAGTACTAGGGAGCGTTCTTTGCTCTTTCCTTTTGTGGATGCACCGGAACCAGCTGCCTCACGCTCCTGTGGCCTTGATGTCCCCACCGCAATGAGCTTACCTTGATCTGTGAGCCAGAGTGTGTGCCTTCTCCCCTGAGCTGCTTCTGTCCAGGTTATCACAGCAAACAGAAAAGAAGCCAAGACAGCCACCGAGAGGCTAACCCACTGTGTTCCGTTACACTGGGGCTACCGGCTTGCTCCCTCACACCCAGCAAGCTGGCCTGGGTTTGTAATTACATTCTCTATAATTAGTGTTTATACTCACGGGCTTTCAGGCAGTTCCTTGCCCTTGCCTTGGGCGGCTGACATCGTCCCTTATCTGGCAGCTCTGAATCAGATGTTCTGTGTGGTCCAGTCAATGTCCTGTCTCCTGATGACTGTCAGTAGGGGACAGAGAGGTGATAGGCCATCTTTCCCATCATCCCCTTTGCTGCCACCATAGACAGGTACTTTGTTCAGCACCTTGCACCAAGCACTTGAATCGGCATCATTGACTGAGATCCTCATCCTGCCATCCCGGTTAAAAGTATACAGGAAGAGGGAGGAATGAACTCGGGGGGCAGGAGAGAGCCTGCATTGCTCTCCGCATTTCTCACCAGCAGTGGCTTGGGCCAGCTGTCACTGTGACAGAAGGAAGATACCCTAGACAGACACCTGTGCCCACCCTTCAGTGAAGGTCCCAAGAAATGGGAATCTCCATGGGAATCTCCAGTGCCCGCCAGAGGAAGAATCTGACTCACACAGTTCTGAGAGCTCGCCAGACCACCTTCTGGGGGTGGCCAGAGCAGAGGGGACAGTGGGACAGTGATACGCAGGACCACGTCTTGACCAGGGATGCTGAGTTAGGCAAACCTCTTGCACTCTCATGTCAAGACCCTGAAGACAGGTTGGGCTTCACTGGGCCCCTTTGCTCCTCTTCCCACTGTGGCTACATTGGTTATATAATTCTCTTCTCTTTTACTGAGGTTTTCCTTTAATTGGCCTGCTGTGGTTGGGTGACTGAGCCTGGCTCATTAGAGCTGCCAGGATCCAAGCCTCTGACCCTAAAGACTCTGGTGACATCATCACACCTGGAGCTTGGTCATCTCAGAACCAAAGAGCAAAACAGAAGAAAAGCACAGTCTAGAAAGTTCTCTAGTTAGGTGTGGTAACCTGAACCTGTAAGTCCAGCACTTGGGAGGCTGAGGAGGAGCCCGAATCTGAGACCAGCCTAGGCTACATGATGAGAGAAAAGAAAAGAACAGTTTCCTCCACCCCCACCCACGGTCTGACCCTGCTCATCCCCTGCTCCAGGACCCTTGGCTCAGCTCCCTATAACTGCACCCTGCAGTCTAGGTTGTCCCCAGCTTCCTACAGAGTTTGGCTTAGGATCTTTTGTTATCTCCTCAGATCCAAGCTCCTCCCTCAGGCCTGTCATTCTGCCAGACTGGTTTTGGCAAAGGAGCCAGGAGCCTCTGCTAATTTGCAGTCTTGGCACACACAAAAAAGGGGGTGGGGTGTACAGTGCAGCATCGTGTGTATAATTTAGCACACACAGAGTTCCACAAACACTGAGTCCTTTTCGAGGAACCATACTTCTAAACAACATAAAGAGTAGTCCCAGTGGTGAGTGGAGGACGAGAGAGGAAAACAGATGCAGTATAGCACAACTGTGTCTTCCACCAGCCAGGGATAGTAGCATGTCGTGAAGAGAGGCCTCTGGCAGGGCAACTGGACCATTAAAAAGGTGCTTAGGGTCGGCTAGCTGGCTCAATAGGTAAAGGTGCCTGCCACCCAGCCTGGACCTGAGTTGGATCCCTGGAACTCACAAAATAGGAGTGAAGCGGCACCTACAAACCAGCCTCCAGCTTCCACACATCTGCCAAGATTCAGAGATGCACACACTCACATAAATAATGAATAAATAAATTCAATGATGGTTTTTAAAAGAAAAGGCAAACATTTATCCCTGGATCACTTGTGGAAAAAGGCTCTAGACATGTGGTCACACAGGCACCCAAACAAATACACGGTGACATGTGGGATTGTTGGGAAGGGTGAAAGTCAAAACCAGAGCCATCTGGAATAAGGGCTGGTCTTTGAGTGTCCCCTCCCAAAGCACCTCGCTGGGCCTCTGAGAAGTTCATACCACCTAGCTAGAGGGAGACACTGATTTCTCTCTTCTGTTTTAGTCTTGAGCTCATTGGTAACACAAGAGTCCATTTTATTTCACCCCTGTCCCCAGTTTTACGACAAAGGCAACCTAGTCACAGGTGGACCTGAGGCAGGTTCATGCTGAGTGACACAGAAATGGCTGAGCACTTTCTCTAGGACTCCTAAGGAGACATGTGAGGCCGGAAGTACCTGTGTGACAGACGTGGATGCTGTACCCAGCAGAGACCAACCTTGAGACACTCAGACCCACCCCCGTCCCTCCACTCCACCCAGCATCCATGACACATGCTACACCCAGGCTGTCCCACTGACAGGCACTGAGACACAGTGATTAAATGTACAAATATGTTGGACTGTGTTTGTAGGTGGTCTGGGGCACACGTGGCCACAGGTTGGATGTACCTGTTACAGCTTGTGGGATCCCTCAGGATGCCAAGAGAAAGGTCCATGGGCAACACCAAGCCCCAGGCCAGATCTTCTACGGGAATCGCTAAAAAGAGAAACCTAGGCAATTAAAATCTAGCAAATTTGATTTGTGCAGAGATCAGGCAGCTCAAGATTATGAGAGGTTTGTCGCTGATGGGGACAATAGAAAAAGAATCTTATAAAATGTTTGAGAAACTAGGAATTGAAAATGCATTTGTTAAGATGGAAAGCCACAGTGAGGGACTCTCTAAGGTTTAGCGTCTGTTTAGTATTTATTTGGGCTTCTGTTTGTTTATGGAGTGTTAGGGCAGGAGACCTGCTTGTTCTTCCTGGCCACCTGGCTAGCTTAGTCCCCGAAATAACCACACAGAAACTGTATTCATTAAAACACTGCTTGGCCCATGAACTTTAGTTTCTTATTGGCTAATTCTTACATCTTAACTTAATCCATTTCTATTAATCTGTGTATTGCCACGTGACTGTGGCTTACCGGCAAGATTCTAACCGGCATCCATCTCAGGTATGAGATGGCTTCTCTCACTCTGCCCTTCTTCCCAGAATTCAGTTCTGTCTTCTCCGCCTACCTAAGTTCTGCCCTATCAGGCCCAAAGCAGCTTCTTTAGCCATTAACCAATGAAAGGAACACATGAACAGAAGAACCTCCTACACCAATAGAGGATCTCAAAGTCCTGGCATTATCTCAGCTCCATGATATCACAATTTAAAAAAAACAAATAAGCAAAAACCTTCGGTACTGCTAATCAAATCCGGGCCTTAAAAGCTATAACATCAGCTCTAATTTAAATGTTTTAGCCCAGCTGGGGATGTGGCTCAGTGGGTAGAGGGCTTGCCTGCCATGCATAAAGCCCTGGGCTCAAAATCCAACCCTACATAAACTAGCCATGGTGGGGCATGTCTACAATCCCAGTACTGGGGACACAGAGGCAGCAGTTCGGAAGTTCAAGGTTCTCTTTGACTACAATGTGAGCTGAAGCTAGCCTGGGCTACATGAGACTCTGTATCCATAAGTATTATTTTGACAGACTTAAGTCAAGAAATTTAGTAAATATCACAAGCTAGTTTGAAACAACGACTAGGTGGCATATTTATAAAGACAAAAGAAATAAAAGAAGAAAATATACTAATTCTACTGGAAGGTGACCCAATTTTCTCATTTTTTTCATCTTTTACAGACACGCTCTGCCGCTATCATTTCAAAACAGCTTGTTCTGATCAAAAACAGCTTTGCGGTAATCGCTGGGTGAAGTATATGAAGGGCAAAATACAAAGTAATAAGCTAGCATTCAAAATAGACTTACTTGGGCAATTATAAAAGGAACCCAAACCAAGAGAGAGAAAGTGTGGTTATCAAATTGTCCGTTTGAACACATCCTGCTCTTCCA